TATATATATATNTATNTNTCTACTATCGTATAGTCCTAGGTATATATATATATATATATATATATATATATATATATATATATATATATATATATATATATATATATGTATGTATGTATATATATATATTTATATATATATATATATATGGGTATATATACTTTAATTTGGAAATGCAATACATCAACGGTTGAAATGCATTCTAACACAGTAGCCAAAAAATAACACAAACTAACTGAGAATAGCAACACAAAGGTAATGTTAGTTGAACTACATGTAACACAATGAATAAACCACATTCTTCATGTTGAAAGTAGGATTGAAGTCACCGATATCCAGAAATATCATAACAGGGCTGAAAGAACGGACAAACTGAAAAATCCATCGGGATGTACGCACAATTATCTACAGATGAGTACAAAAGTAATATGGTATAGAGTCGTTGCAATGGCATACAGACACAAGGCTATATAGCCATGGAGATGTAAGCACAGGCAACTACTAAACCAAACACAAAGCAATATATAAATATAAATGTAAATATATAAAGCAATATATAAACACATTTATATGCGGTATATAAACACAAAGCAATATATAAACACATTTATATGCAGTATATAAACACAAAGCAATATATAAAACACAAAGCAATATATAAACACATTTATATGCAGTATATAAACACAGAGCAATATATAAAACACAAAGCAATATAATAACACATTTAGATGTAGCATATAAACACAAAGCAATACACAAACCCATTTATACGCAGTGAACCCCCAATCGTATCCGCGAGTAGGTGCAACTACAGATCACACTCGACTACCGCAAGCGTTGGCCGATATAACACCAACGCACCTGTATGAGCACCGACTGCAATTCAAAGCGCTGCAGATTCCAAATGTACAGCACATTGGGCTGTGTGTCGCAGCGCGAGGCCATGTGCACCGCACCGGCACTGAATTGGACCATGCCTGTCCCAATGGAGGGTGCGTGCCTGTCTTGTTTGATCTGAGAAGGACCGGTGGAAAGGGTGAGGACAAAGCGTGGATATCGAGTGTCGAGGAGTGGTAGGAAGTTTGATGAGGAAATGTGTGTAGGTATGCATTGAGGTGGTGTCTACACCGCCGAGCGAGTTGTGAGACAGTAGAATACATAGAGCAATGCATAGGCAATAGCACTACCGACGAATGATCTCTATTGCAGAGTAGGTCCAAGCAGACGAGCAATTAAGCCCTAAACCCTAAAACAAACAACCGTCTACTCGTGCAAGCGGACTATACGCCTTGTCGATTCTCTCCGTGCACTGTATGTATTTCAACATTCATAACCTCAAATACAAGCACGCAAGCAAAGTGGCATACACATGATCTCACCTACACAAATACATCCATACATACATATATATTTACATGCAATTGCTTGGCCGGTATGCCGATCAAATAGATTTGAAAAGGTTGATAAGTATATTTATATATATATATATATACATATATATAACATATCCTCTTAACATCAACAACACATATTCTCTTAACATCAACAGCATATATTCTCTTAACATCAACAGCACATATTCTCTTAACATCAACAGCTCCTAACCCCTTCTACGCACAGAGACGTGGATTCTCAAACCCCTAAACCCTAAAAAGCTCAGACGTACCACTGGCAGGGTTGTTTCATCTGTGCAGATGCGGTAAAACCGCCTAGCCGTCGGTCCATTTCTGTCGGATTCTTCAAGAAATATCGCCACTTTGTTCCCATCCACTCTCTCTGCCGTAGCAATGGGCAAATGCAGTGACTACACGGTACAATACACTCTCAACACATGCGCATACGTTCACGTGTGTAAGTATGTTTAATTGATATAGTGAGTTAGTTCATATGTACATGTGTGCAAGTATGTTTTATTGATATAGTGAGTTAGTTCATATGTACATGTGTGAAGGTATGTTTAATTGATATAGTGAGTTAGTTCATATGTACATGTGTGCAGGTACGTTTAATTGATATAGTGAGTTAGTTCATATGTAAATGTGTGCAAGTATGTTTAATTGACATAGTGATTTAGTTCATATGTTCATGTGTGTACGTATGTTTAATTGATATAGCGAGTTAGTTCGTATGTACATGTGTGCAAGTATGTTTAATTGATATAGTGAGTTTGTTCATTAGTGAGTTGGTTTGTACGCTAATCATCCTCAAAGCACTCACGCAATACACACAACCGCACAGAACTGCTACACGCACACATGTGCGCGCAGAAGCATCTACCTACCCGCACGCACTACATGCATGACACTCAGCAGAAGGTCAAAAACCCCTAAACCCTAAAAACACATGAAACTCAGGTGAACGTGTTCACGCACCTCTAGCCCTAGCCATCCACAACGGTTTCCACACGAGAGTGTTGATGACGACGACTGTATCTGCATACGTTCCCACAGCCACCGCCGATCCATCCGGAGCCCACGCGACACACTTGATACACAGTGACACGTCAGACTCACTCCTGGTTAATTGGCCATTGCCACTGGCCTGGATAGTCCGCTTCTCCTTACTGGGCCGTGCACCGTGTTCTGTGTGTGGGTCCGTTGGCTCAGTACTCCCGTCGCTGCGCTCTAACCTCGAGTTCCTGAACCCCGCGAAATAGTCTATTTTTAGATTGCACTCGCCCAGCTTCTTGCCCTCGAGTGAGTACAGCCGCACCATGGAGCCAAACGGCCCGTCCCACACACACAAGGTGCCGTCGCCATTGGGATTCCACGCTACACCCCCAACTTCCGAACTGTCCGATATCACGAATTCGTTGCCCGTGCCAATCCCGTTCCCGCTCTGCACCAAATTTGGAACGTCTGTGATGGATGTGATTGGGTAATACAGCCTTTGGTTAGGGTTTTATGTGATTGGGTAATACAGTGTTTGATGCGTTACCCGTTGTCAGTACACGTGTACATCTATTACGTTGCGTGTGTTGGTCACGTGTCTGTACCTATTGTGCGACGTTGTTCCGTAGAGTGGAATGGGCTGTCTATATGCATGTCGTGTGTGTATATATAACAGTGTGTGTATTGTGTATGTCGTGTGTGTGTATATAACAGTGTGCGAATTGTGTATGTCGTGTGTGTATACATAACAGTGTATCTGTTATGTATGTCCATACCATAAACGTACACAAATATTGTACACAGTGACTACGCACACGTAACTAGCACGCACAAGTACACACACATGTCAGATAATTCCAGCACTCGATTGAACGCTCAATCAATATAGAAGCCACACATAGTCGCTCGCAAACAAACGCAAACCTATACACGGAAGCTCTGCCCAGCCACGATACATGCCAAATGCACTTAAAATTGCACGCAAACACTCCATGCACAGCACTACTACACACTTTCAAGCCGAGTACACAGTACACACCTCCTGGCGAATGCCTCCCCTGTCCCCCATTACCTGTTGCGGCAGTGGTGGCTGCCTGCTTATCCCTTTCAGCGGTGTGTGTGTGTGCGTGTGTGTCCGTCTGGCTGTGTGTATGTGGTGTGCGTTTACTTTCGTGTGTTGCATCGGTGTCGGTGGTGCGGATGAGATCGGCGTTGTCATACGGAAACACACACACACAGTCACGAGTGCCGTGGCGCGTGACCATAGCGCCCACAGTGTACAGCTCAGTGGCACTGAGTGGCAGAGCACAACTGTCCAGGCCCTAGAAATGGGACACAAGGGTTTGCTTGGTTTAGTGTGTTCATGGAAGTGCATCGATGAATGTGGA